AGTTTCAAATGTTCATATGAAAGTCCATTGGAATTTCTTGACAAGGGCTTCCAAAAGCATCCCTCTATTGGGTTTCTCCTCATTTTCCTTTTGTCTTCCAAGGCTGGACTCTAGAGTGATGGATTCTGATTAGGAACAAAATCATCAATGAGAAATAATTGTCTAAATAACTTTTTAAATGGACTTAAGCCTAATGTCTGGGAAGTGTAATCCTTTGAACTCTTAGAGAAATATACTGATGACTACTCTTTGGTTATACTTTTCTTTTGCATCCCTATGTCTTTGTTATGAAGCTAACTTGATCACTGAGGATATTCTTTTTGAATTCAGTTTGCAAGTATTTTATTGAGAATTTTTGTGTCTATGTTCATCAGGGAGATTGGGCTCTAATTTTATTGTTACGTCTTCATCTGGTTTTGATATGGGCGTAATACTGATTTTGTAAAGAATTTGGAAGCATGCCTTCTATTTTATAGAATAATTTGAGAAGGATATGTATTAGTTCTTTAAAGGTCTGGTGAATTCATCCGTGAATCTATCTGTACCCCTGCTTTCCAGCTGGGAGATTTTTTTATTACTGCTTCAACCTTATTGCTTCTTATAGATTTGTTTTGTTTATTTCATATCTCATCTTGGTTTAACTTTGGAGGCTCATAGAAAAGTTATTCATCCTATGCCCTTCCCCCCATGATGCCTCCTCCCAGGCTTGCCTTTTATAATCATTATGTTTAGGGATTATATCCTTGAATACATTCTGGATTCCATGATCTTTTTTTTTTTTAATATTTTATTTTTATTTTATGTGTACGAGTGTATTGCCTGCATATATGTGAGTGCACCCATGCTGTGGAGGTCAGAAGAGGGCTTTGGATTCCCCTGGAACTGGACTGTTAAGGACGGTTCATAGCCTCCATGTGAGTGCTGGGAATTGAACCTGGGTCCTTTGCAAGAGCAGTCAGTGGTCTTAACTGCTGAGCCATTTCTCCAACCCTGGATTCCGTGATCTTTTATCACCTATTTTAATATCCTAGTTTTTGGGTTAGGACCAAGGACAGTTATATATGCTATTTAGTATAGAACCTTTGATTTTGGCTGTAGAATTAATAATCAGGAGATGCTGAGGAAAAAAATAATAGAGGATAAAGTATAGACACTTGAGTTACTAATCAAATTTTGGAATTTTATAAGGTCAGTATTTTTCCTGAACTTTTTTGTGACATAACAATTTATGTATTTAAACTCTAAATGAATAGCAAAACTTGCATTACTTATATATATTGAGTCTAACCAAATCAGTAAGGAGTTTGGCACTAAAAGATGTTCTCTAACTCTGGTATATTGAGTTGTTTGTCTCTGTCATTTCTCCATCTTTCTGTTTCTGCCTCTCTCTCTCTCTCCAATGCTGGAGAACCCTTGTAATGCCAGTCTAACACACTGACCTATACCCTTGGCCCTCTGATATCCTGAAATACAAAGATTTATTTACTTTTCTTTTACTTAAGAAATTTCATGAGGGGCTAAAGAGATGGCTCAGCAGTTAAGAGTATTAGCTGCTCTTTAGAGGACCCGGGTTCAATTCCCAGCACGCACATGATGGCTAACAACTGTCTGTAACTCCAGTTTCAGGGGATCTAATGCCCACCCTGACCTCCATGGGCATTGCATGATACAGGTGCACTTACATACATGCAAGCAATACATATAAAATTAAATGAGCTAATCTATTTTGTGATTTTTCTACATATGAGGGTCCTTTAAACTTAT